GTCAAGCGGGCATAAATTTTCGACATCCGCAAGAATGAGAATGGAATAACTCGGCAATGAGAACGTTAGAACTAAGAATAAATATATATATTCAAGAGCGTATCCATGGATGTTTTAGACTTAAATTCTTAAAAATGCTCTCTAGCATCATATCGCGACATAGAAAGTAGGTTTGTCACGAAGTGGGCTAAGACGGATGGAAAAGGGTTCAAAGTCAATTTTTAGATAAATTGCGTGATTTAGGCAGGTGCAATACGCTACAAATTTACTTACTCGAAAGTTGCATTGATGACGTCAGTCATTCTTTGATTCTCAACTTTTGCCAAATAACCTCCTGTTTCATTACAAAAAAATTTGGCCTTCTGATAGGTTTTCCTTGGATCCTTATAAAAGTTCAGTTCGTATTGGTCGACGCATTTTGTTTTCCATGGAACTATATAAAATAATTTAGGATTTATATGATTGTAAATACAATTCCGTCATTTATTAATCAAAAAGAAATACTAATTGAATTACATGGAACAGTAAAAACGTAAAGAATTTCATTGATATCACCGCAGATTAGAATAACCGAAGCAGAATCACAAGCATAAAATCTGCAAATTTGCAGTTTTCAGTGTAGTGATTGGTATAAGAAGATTAGTTTGCTAAACGCAAATAAGTATGTCTCTGGAGTTTTACGATAAAATCATGTCATTTTATTTCTTCCACTGCTCGTGGTGATGACAATAAATGAATCTGTATATATTTTGCACATAGCACTGCATACAAAACAAACAAGGACAACATTTACTTTAATATGTAACATCAAGATTTAGAAAAAAATTATCTTACTTTGTGCATGAGAGAATCCAAGTAGCTTGATTGTAAGAATACTGAATAATATTTTGAACACTTGCATTTTTGCTTCAATTTAATATTTACGAGACGAAAACATTGCTGTGAAAGTAGTATTGAAAGTTATAATCGTTTTTAGTGAATCAATCACACTCTATTCTATCGTAACTTCAGAAATACGGAAATATGTTGGCTTAAAATGTTTTCAGTTTTATGTATCTTGTCTACAATAAGCTATCAGACACCGGGCTGTACAAGAACATGTATTATTACGCACAGAAATAAGTCACCAGACACCCCAATAAAAGAGTAGTGACATGGTGTCCAGTTATATACTAACTATACAATACCAATACACACAATCCAATTGAAGCAATCAGCGTGAAGTACTCCAAAGACATGACATGGTTATAGCAATTCAAAAATTAAAATTGAAAAAAGACATATCTGTCATTTTTCATATCAACTCACTTGCATGAATCCTGTCGAGACCAGCGGCGACCATTTGTTCATTTCTAATATTCGTCGGTAATCGTGTTCAAGATGCAGCCCTACGTGTGCTAGCACATTAACGTAATATTAAACTTTTGACATCTATTCACAAACGCTAGCATACGTTGATAATTTAAATCCAAAAATACCAATTTCCTCCTGACCGGGTCGACGGTCCTTAGTCATTCCTGGAAAGGCTCAGGTCGTAACGCGCCAATGATAAAATTCAATATACGTGGGAAGTATAACTAAGAACTGGTGAAACAATGTTGCTCTATCTATTGCACAAGTAAAGCTGAGCTATTTCTCTTCAATTACGCGCCAGTAATGTAATAAAAAATCCATTAGGTTATTGATTATTTGAAACTTAAATAGACACAAATTTGCTAGATAAATTTTTACCTCGCTGGTCTTTCTGCCATGGTGTATTTTTGAACACATGTGAAAATGAATTCATCATATCATTGTATGAAATATATATAAATAATTTTTCCGAGGTCTTCGGCGGCCGATATTTTAGCCAAATTTGGGTTGTTGCATTACAATTCATAAAAACGTTATTTTGACATTCAACCTCCCTGTAGATATGTTGGAGCATTGCTCTAATGTGATGATATATTAATATATACATATGTCAAAATATTGCAGCATCAAACATGATAAAAGTCGTGTTATGAATTCAAGCTTGGAAAAGCCTCAGACTTTGATAGAGGAAGCATAGGAAACCATTAAAATATAAGGGCGATAAGCCATCTTGGCCTGGAAATGAACTTGTCAGAGACAATGCATTATAGCAGCAATGATCTCATACATGAAATTGAAATTTACGAGGAACGTGATCACATTTTAGATCAAAAAATACCCTTTGGTTGCAAAATCATTTTCGTTTTGGAAAATACAACGACAATATACATAATGTAAATACTCTAAGAATATATAATTTCTGCTGTAGTCAACAAAGCAAGTCAATCTTGATTTACAAATTTTGACTTAATCTTGTTTGAAATTTAACCATTTGTTTATGACATAATTTCATACTCATGCCTCAACGTAGCTTCTATATAACGCGTATGTTTTGAATACTGCCAAATTTCCCTAAACCCTCGATAACAGCATTAAGATTTATGTTCCTCAGTTAAAGTGTGTATAAAATTTATATTTAAAAGAGATATTACATTGATTGGTGTTCCCGAAGTATGTGTACCAAGATAGCACACAACCTGAACATAGTATGTTACCAGATTAGGGCTCAGGTTTTACGTCATCTTGGTACGAATACTTCCGGAGCGTCCATCGATTAATAGTTACCAATCTGGTTTCAATTTTAAAATCAATTGCAATATCAATTTCAGTTTCAATATTTCCATCACAATTTTTAAATACCGTTTTTTCCAAAGTTTCCCGAAATTTTATTAGATGTGGAAGCACCATATTTTCTAAGTTTCTAATTAGGTAATTACTGAAACAAAATAGTGTGAAAAACCTATGTATATACCCTTTCAGTGAACTAATGACTATATAGGAAATTCCGAAATAACCTGGCATGTTGTACTTTGTAATGGATACTGACTCTAAACAACAAAAATCAAACAGAGATGAAATCTTTAAACATTTTTATTGACGTCCAGTATAGTGAAGTAGTCGTCTACATCATGTGTTAATGAAAGCAATTAATTCTAAGAATATATCTTAATATGTTTACAGTTGTACGTATCACGGATAAGTGAAAACTCCCATAAAATTTCATGAACAGACTCTCTTTTGTATCGAACTTGCTAATAATAAGTGGCAACATTGTGGAAGAGTATGTATGACGGCACTACGTAAGCTACCCTAAATATCTATCAACAAATGCAAGACCCGTAACATCGAGAAAACTATTTGTTTAATTCAATTTTAACAATGTATCAATAGATTTATGAAGAACACGATAATGGTAGCATAAATTTTGAATAGAGGTATTGTCAATAGTGTACGTACGTGTACGTGTACGTACCCTAGCGCATTTTTCATACAATGGGTCACGAATATCCACGAGTCCAAAGAGTTCCCACGATGCATAGTACAGCTGTGAATATAGGGTACGCGATGATTCTGTGATAAACCGCTGCGACATGCAATCGTCTTGTGGTATCTATTTTTTGGGGCTCCCGAAGTATGCGAACCAAGATGGCGGACATCGGAATGTAATATGTGTACTAGGTTAGGGTTAGGCCGTAATTTTAGGTATAAATACTACGGGAGGCTCTTGTCTAGTCTTCGAACTGATAATAGGACAAAAATAAAGAAAATTGGAAAAATATTATCGCCTAACCCTAACCTGTTACCCATGTTACGTTCCGATGTCCGCCATCTTGGTTCGCATACTTCGGGAGCACCTATTTATTTTTAATTGAATCAAGCTGTTTTTTATTCCCGATATTGCTTCGAATCAATTAAAATTGGTGTTGATTCGAATCGCTTCGATTCGAAATTCAGAAACACACATCTCTCAAGTCAGCATCATATTAGGGTCGTCCGTGACAGGTTTAGAGCGAATTTATTGATTTATTGAATTCCAAATACGCCCAGATTTCATATTTATTCGTGTGTACACTCACTTCCGATTTTCAACTCGTGAAACAAAACGTTGACACAAATATTCAGCTTGAAACCTCGAGGTTTGTCACAACAGTTTAAAATAGTTTAATAAGCAGAAATCCTCTTGAAATGTAATCACACAGAAGTACGCGCAACCATGCGTGGCGACACCGGTGGCGGTATATCGAGTTTACGAAAAACGAAATGTGGGTTTGGATATCTGCGATGAAATATAGGGGTATATAAGTAGAAAACTGGGTAATGTTAGGACATCATGGAAAAAAATCATGTTCAGAGGACCTTCGTCGAACCAGGGTTAAAAAACACTGAGCTAGAGGCTCGACCGAAGTAATGTAGAGAAGGCACACGAGTCCTCATAAAATAAATGTGTTTTAAAAAAGTCAAACACATGGCGCTCTTAGCAAAAAGTACGCTAATACATTGAACTACAAAAGTTGACCTTTACTCAGAGCGCAATTAAACTCTACTGAGGAAGCGTTACCTATTAAAAATTTTTTTTACTTCTCCTTGTAAAGTTTTATGAGCAACTACAGACTTTTCCTTCAACGATCTCTGCGCATCCAGTCACGTAGACGCAAGGAGCCTTTAAGAACTGGAATCGTTTTTTTATTGACGCTCAGATTAAACAATTAAAACGTAACGAAATTAAAAATTAACAAATGAATGCATCGATTTAATGACAATGTTTCCTCAACTAGAAAATTCGAAAAGGATTAAACTTATGAACATAATGAATACATAACGAAACTATTTTCAGCGTATGTAAGTTTTCTTGATAATTTGTAGTAAATTAGAGCATTAGTTATATCGAAAAATACAAATGAGTAAAAGTTTTTGCGTTAAACATAATAGCATGGGTTGTTAAGAACAAATTGCCCACAACACTCTTAAATTCGAATAAAATTTAAGGACGAAGCAAAAAGATCAAGTGAAAGTGCATTGAACCAATGCGAGGTCTTTTTCAAATCTCACACATCTAGTAGTTTGAGCTTCCCTGGTGTCAGCTAGTGGCAGTTTGTGAAAGTAATACAGACACATCACTACCAGGAAGAAACACCGCGCTGATTCTACTCATCGTATATTTTGTAGTTAACTATTGAAAAGTTTTTCTCACCATTGAAGACGAAAACACAAATAACACAAGTTAGTTGTTAGGGTTACAACGATTAATAAAAAATTGGTGAATTTTTTTAAGTGAAGCTTTTTGATTTTCATTATTGCAGTATAATAGAAGAATTGTAGACCTAACAAAACTAAATGAGTCGTTCTTAATAATGTATGACAATACATGTTTACGACATAGCATAAAGAGCCCATTACAATCTAAGTGAGTAAGTGGATAGAGATAGATAATTGCTTGGTCCGACTGTAACATAGAAATGTCGATCGAGACCAACATGATTGTATGTTACAAGTTTACAGAGTGTTTTATAAACTTCAACATGTTTGCTTCCGTTTTGTGAAGATACTGTATATCTGAAGTTCGTTAGATGTTGTAATTTTCATAAGCTGATTCCACTTGGGTCCGGAAAGTTGTTGTAGAAATAGCTTGTTCGTAACCGGCAGTTCCTTCTAGCACGTTCGAATATGATGGTTGAGAAACTGGGTCATTGGAAGAAGTTGCTGATTAATTAAAACAAAAAGTTCAATTAACATCTATAGCAGAAATATCAATTATATTTAAAATATTGACGAACAGATGGCTTAAAGTGAGATACCTTTTCAAATGATTTCCAATATTTTTTCACATCACATAAGAACAAATCACAAAATAATGCTTATCTTCATGTTCAAATATTTTTGCATTGATGATGACATTGACATGTCACATGTACTTGTTAAAAATTTAAAATGTTTTATTGGCTGATAAAGAATAATATTTTATACATGGGAAGTTTAGACTTTTTTAATGGTTGATCAGTTGAGTAATATTTTACGCATGAAATGGAAATATTCGTATCCCATTACCTTTTTCTTGTATAGTTTCGTAATTCTGTTCTTTCGCTTCTGCAATTTTCCCCAAATTCTTTATCTTACTCATCAATTTGTATATGATTAGGGCAAAGACTACGTAGAAGATCAAAGGAATGAGAAAACCGATCACAAAGCTGAAGATATTGAACTCAAACGATTTGTTTTCTAAAATATTATATAACCTTAACAAAAACTAGATATTAGATATATTAGATATTTTTTAAATAATATTAAAAGTTTTACTCTAAACTTAATAGTTGTTGACAAAATTGATTATATTTTCATTCCAAAACTGAATAGTTGCATGATCATTATTCCTTAATCAAAAGAATAATATTCTGAACAATATATATTTCAGTAAATGCTTCCCAAACTTTCTTATTTTTTGAGGAACTGTATTTGGAGTCTCACGCCAACTGGTGTTTGCTACAATCATAAGTCACAGTGACATAAAGTTTCGATTGGCATATTATATACCGTAGTTCTCGGAACATATTCAGTTAGTATCTTATTTCCCTTCCCTTGAATTATTTCCTGATACTTAAAATAATTATAACCTAATACTGATCAGGTTTCAGAACAAATCATACATCAATATAGTACATAAGCTTCATTGATATCGGTCCATTGATACCGAAAATGTTTTCAATATTTATGGTATTTTCACAGCAAGGATTGAAAATTGTTTTGCGAAATCTATACAATTTAATTGAGATAATGCTCCAAACACTCTTCATGAATTCCATATGAGTGAGTGAATTCGAAATGATTTCTCCCAATTGAGTAAAGCAAATGTAAATATGTGAAATTATAATAATATAACTAATTTATACCTCTTGGATTTCCCACACAAGAACCTTCAACAGGCCAAACGCAATTAAATATTTTTATAGATGCCGAATAGTTACGATTTGGTTCTGGTTGAAATGAATACGCGGATGATGACGTCACGTCTATGAGCTTCATGTCTATATTCGAGTTTGCATCTTGCGAAGAAACCGGAGCAGAAGTCAGATTCAATTCCTATAATTCATCAGACAAAAAATTTGCTTCAGAAATACTCGCGTTGTTGCACTGTATTCCTAAATTTTTCACTAAAAATGACGTTAAAGATAAGTGATAGATAAGTTGATATGAGTGCAAAGAAACAAAACTTTGAGCTGAGTTGAATATAAATCGAAAACAAAATATTTTTAAACACCATCTGCCATCAGTAGACAGCGGTACGTGGATCTACGATCGTAAGTGACAATGTAAGTGGCTGTATAACCAGTCAATCTTAACGGTTCAGTGTGTACTTTATAACACGCGTATAAATTCTATATTCAATTTATATATATACAGCCAAAGTTGTTAAAGAACATGTGTTTCGAATAACTTGTGTCAACCATTCAAATATTGACTTACCACGGTATATGAATCACCAGTCTCCATCTTGTTAGATAATGTCCAAGAGATGACGCAAGTTTGCGTATTCTTGTACTGTATAATGAATGGTGATTCCACAGATAACGATGCTCCACTTGTTCTGGCCTTTCGGGTGGTAGAATAATTGGTTGTGCAATATTCTTTTGTTACACATGCAGTAACCTGTAAAAATGAATTTTCATGATTAATATAATAACACAATGTACAATTGAGCAGAATACTCTGGTGGCTTCTAACGTCCCGAAAAGATAGATTTCTGGCCACAAATAGAACACGCAAAGTTATCCAATGTACCTAGGCTATCTCATCATAGAAATGGAAATCACAAAAAAGAAATAGATGTCAACGATATATTAACATTTTTGCTTACTTTGATTTGATAGGTTGTGGTAGGCAACAAACTGATTATTGTTGTTGACTGTTTCTCAGATGTTGGTGAATCCACCCATCTTGTTGATCCCCCCGAGGTCGGACTTACTTCTATTCTGTGTAAGAGAAGGGTGTGTACACTGACATAAAAATATTAATCGTTACGCGATGTCAATCATTATTTAATTTATACACAACTTCATGTATCTGTTTTTTACTGAGTTATAAGGTCTTGTGACTAGAATGTTGGAACTGGTGTTAATCAACAATCCCACTAATTGTAATGTTTTAACATTGGGAACCAGGTAACTTTAAAGTTTTTAGGTTTGTTTAGAGCGAAGAATAACAAAAAATGATTATAGAAATCGACAGTTAATTGTTCATAAAGATAAACTCACTTGTGCGTGAATCCAAGAGCATTTGTATGTGGTTGCCGTGAGATTATCAAGTCAGAGTTGCAACTGCTATTTAATATTTCATGGATTGTGGGATTTCCAGCCACTGAAAAAAATACACAAGATTAATGAACAGAGATTACAGAAATACATAAAAATGAATAACGATATTTACTTTCATATGATTCATTTGTAGTTTTCCACAATTTACCAAGTCGATAACGACAACTATAGGATCCCGCATCTGCAATATTTGCGTTTTGAAGATTCAATGTTGCTGATCCAGTTTGTATTGTTTGATAAACTCCACTTGTAGTTGCGGTTGATACTTTGTTAGATGCTTTGTACCACTCAAATTGAGTTGCAGTGCTACAGTCTGTTGCAGTACACATTCTCTGGTTTTCCTTGGGGGTTAGTATTTCCACGAAAGGACCTTGAAACTCTGAAGCAAAATTTGTGAACTTCAAACCCGTAAATAACACAAATTGGTTCAGAATATTTACACAGGTTCATGTGAGCAGAATCACTGAACATTATAACTATCTGAATTGTATTCTATACAAAATAAAAAAAATAGATGAGTTAACAGTGATAGTGCAATTTTTTAGTCAACACTCTTTGAAATAGATGATTGAAGACAAATAATCGAAAGATTTCTTTTGATACCATAATAAGCATGTGATAATAAGCAGTGGTACAGACAAAAATATAGATACTTGCATTGATGTAATTTGTATTTCTCATCTTCGAATAGCCCTTCTGAATATTTCTGATTTGACAATCTACTTTGATATATTAGATATATTGATACATATCTTTCGATTCATATTATTTACAATGTCGACCTTTCTGTACTTTATTTATCAAGACCTTCCTGCGCTATTTCAATGCATTCAACAATGAATTTTAATTTTGTATAAGAATTATATTTTGTCTTGTTTTCAATATTAAACTTATTGGATTCTCCCAAACTTCAGTTTAGCAAAGAAAGATTAATTTATCACGTGCTCATATAGCTATATATATATCATAGAAAAATGATTATTGAGACAAATATGTATTTCGGTTCTCATCTCAATGCCATTTCTAATGAAGAAACATGAATAGCACTGTTTACTTGTGCGAGAACGAATAGAAAAATCAATATTACCTTTCTGGCAAATGTAGTAGAAGTTTTCATCACAAGATATATCAACCCAGTTATACACTTCTCTTCCAACTACAAGACAATTTTCAACAGCAGTATTACCTGTGGTCTCGCCATTTGGTTGATTAGCTTTCCTGATAAATTCAAAACATTATTTTCTAAGCGGGCAAAGTATGACAGATATTGAATAGAGAAGACTAAATGAATTTAAACTTGGGATAGTTTATCTAATTGCGTGTAACAGACAATACCAATATTGAAGTTCTGCTATGGGGAAGTCATCTTTTCTATACTGTTAAGAATAATGCGAACTCTAGGCATACGAGCATTAAAAAAAAATTCACGTCGCCAAATACAACGCTTTTGTTATTTGCAACTTTTTCTAAATTAAATTGTAAAACAAACCAGTTTTGATATCCCTCTTCTCCTCTCATTATCACATCAGTACCATCTTGCCATTTCCAATCGCCTTCGGTATCTATGTCGTTTCCCCCGATATAGAAAGTGTTCAAACCCGGATTAATTCTGCAAATTATTTGTTGAAACAAGAATAAATGTAACAAAATAAATTGAGGCAATCCATAATCTAATCTCAACAAACTCTCACAGGGTGTAAAACTGAGTTTAACATGAAAAAACAACAACCTTTTGCCATACGTTACGCGGAAAAGTTTTCTTCGCTGCTTATTTGACCATAATTGCAATAAAGTGTTTAAATATGACATGTCAATGAGAATGAAATTTTGCAGTCAAAGTGAGCTTTGAGAAAAATGTCTTTGTTCAACGTCGGGAAGCGTGTCATGAAAAAAACGTTCGATTTTGATAAATTTCTATACGTAATTGTCTACAGTTATCTGTCCTCTGAAGAGTCACGTTAACATTTACAAATTACGAATGTTTATACCGAAATTGTATTTTTCTGTATATCTAATTATTTCATGCTACGGTCGACGTGGACCAAATAGTAAAACAGTTGATTAAACAGTTATCCGAATTTAAGAATTTGACGATTGCTAAATATAATATTTCCGAAATATTGATAAACCAAATTATCATATTCTTGAAAGCGAAAAATATCATTTAGTTCCTTGCATAGCAGTATAATCGACAAGGAACACAGTTTATTGTTCACTACTCATTGCAGCTAATCATCGTCAGCAATGTTTACTATAGTTGCATTTGTAAGCTTATTGCGTAAAAATAATACCAGATGGAAAAATCAGATAAAAAAAGTCATTTTTTTGATAAATTGCGTGCATAAATTGCGAGAATACGTTTAAGCAAGTTGACCCACTCAAAAGTTGCATTGATGACGTCAGTCATTCTTTGATTATCAACTTTTGCCAAGTAACCTCCGACTCCTTCACAAAAAGATTTTGCCTCCCCATAGTTTTTCTTTGGATCCTCAAAAAAGTTCAGTTGGTACTGATCTACGCATTTTGTTTTCCATGGAGCTATGTGAAAAAATTAAATAACAATGATATTGTGTTAAGTCAGTTATTATTGGAAAAAGAATCATAATTGATTTCTCGTGGAACAGTGGAAGGACGTAAGAAATGTCAATGATATTACCAAAGAATATTTATATATTAATTAGGAAAACCGAAGGCAGAATCAAAAGTATAAACCAGCACATTTGAAGTTTTTGCTTAGCGATTTTTATAAATAAATCAATTTGCTTAGCGCAAAACATGAATATCTTTTCACAGTTTTAAAAAAAAATAATGTCATTACATTTATTCCACTGTTCACAGATATCAGTAAAATGAATCTATATGTATTTTGCTCAAAGCGTTGCAAACAAACACAAGGACAACAACATTCATTTCAATATGCAACATCGATATTTAGAAAAAAATTGTCTTACTTTGTGCATGAGAGACTCCAAGTAGCTTGATTGTAAAAACACAAATTATTAATATTTTAAACGCGTTCATCTTTGTTTCATTTCAATATTTACTAGACTAAAACATTGCTGTGAAAGTAGTAGTGAAAGTTATAATCGTTTGTAGTGAATCAATCACACTCTATTCTATCGTAACTTATGAAATATCGTAATATGTTGCATTAAAATGTTTTCAGTTTTACGTATCTTATATTCACACCTCTTCTCTGCAATAAGCTATCAGACATCGGGTTTCAAATAAATGTGTAAAAAGGCACACAGAAATACGTAACAAGACACCCCATAAAGTAGTGACAGGGTGTCCTCTTATATACTAACGATACAATACAAATACACACATTCGAGCAATCAGCGTGAAGTGCTACAAAAACACGAAACGGCCATCGTTGCAATTCAGAAAATGAAATCGGAAAAATGACATATCTGCCACTTTTCATATCGATTCACTTGCCTAAATTACTGCAGAGATCCGCAATGTTTACATCCCTTTCTTTAAAACGTTATCACACACGTCATCAATCAACTATAAACAGCCTGCTACCGTTTGAATATTTCATTCTCAATATTCGTTGGTGACTGTGTTCGAGTATCAGATCTTCGCGTACCAGCACATCAACGCAGCATTAAACGTATGACATTAACATAATAAACGTATGACATTTATTATCATAACAATACCAATTCCCTCCTCGACGGGAGGACATTTGTGGGCAGGGTATCTAGGAACTGGCAAATCGATATTGCTCTTTCAATTACACTAGCAAGGCTGAGCTGTGCGCCTTCTTTTACGCGCAAGTCATGTTATAAAACGTCGATTAGGCATGCGTTTGAAACACACACACACATGAATGTGCTAGTTATATTTCTGGTATTTCTGTCATGATATGTACAGTATTTTTGAACACAAATGGAAATGGATTTACCATATGATTATATAAAATATATATGAATAGTTTTGTTTTTCCGAGGTTCTACGACGCCCGATATTTCAACCAAAGTTTTGTTGTTGCATTATAATTCATGAAAATACCTTTTTTAACAATCGCCCTCCCTGTAGATATATTTGAGCATTGCTCTAATGTGATGATATATTATATATGAATATATGTCTTAAATATTGCAGAATCGAACAGGATACCAGTCGTACTCAAGCTTGTGAAGGCGTTATTATTAATAGTGGAAGCCTATAGGAAATCATTGAAATATAAGGGCTATAAGCCATCATGACCGCCCATCGATTAATATTTACCAATCTGGTTTCAATTTTAAATTCAATTGCAATATCAATTTCAGTTTCAATATTTCCATCACAATTTTTTAATACCGTTTTTCCCTAAGTTTCTAATTAGGTATTTACTGAAACTCTCTTGTCAAAATAGTGTCAAAAACCTATGTATATACCCTTTCAGTGAACTAATGACTATATGGGAAATTCCGAAATAACCTGGCATGTTGTACTTTGTAATGGATACTGACTCTCAACAACAAAAAACAAACAGAAATAAAATCTTTCAAGATTTTTATTGACGCCCAGTATAGTGAAGTAGTCGTCTACATTATTTGTTAACGGAAGCAATAAATTCTTAGAATATATCTTAATATGTTTACAGTTGTACGTATCACGGATAAGTAAAAACTCCCATAAAATTTCATGAACAGACTCTCTTTTGTATCGAACTCACTAATAATGAGTTCCAACATTTTGGAGGAGTATGTATGAGGGCACTACGTAAGCTACCCATAATATCTATCAATAAATGCAAGACCCGTAACATCGAGAAAACTTTTTGTTTAATTCAATTTTAACAATGTATCAATAGATTTATGAAAATAAAGATAATGGTGGCATAAATTTTGAATGGAGGTATTGTCCATAGCCGTATGTACCCTAGGGCATTTTTCATACAATAGGTCACGAATATCCACGAGTCCAAAGAGTTCCCACGATGCATAGTACAGCTGTGCATATAGCGTATGCGATGGTATTGTGATAAACCGCTGCGACATGCAATCGTCTTGAGGTATCTAATTTTTTTTTAATTGAATCAAGCTTTTTTTCTGATATTGCTTTGAATCAATTGAAATTGGTATTGATTCAAATCGCTTTGATTCGAAATTCTGAAACTTACATATTTCAAGTCAGCACCATATTAGGGTCGTCCGGGACAGGTTTATAACGAATATATGGATTGATTGAATTCCAAATACGCCCAGATTTCATATTCATTCGTGTGTACACTCACTTCCGATTTTCAACTCGTGAAATAAAACGTTGACACAAATATTCAGCTTGAAATCCCGAGGTTTGTCACAACAGATTAAGATATTTCAATAAACAGAAATCATCTTGAAATGCAATCACACAGAAGTACGCGCAGCCATGCGTGCGACACCGGTGGCGGTATAACGAGTTTGCGAGAAACGAAATGTGGGTTTGGATCTGCGATGAAATATAGGGGTATATAAGTAGAAAACTGGGTAATGTAAGGACATCATGGCAAAAAATTATGTTCAGAGGATCTTTGTCGAACCAAAGTAGAAAAACACTGTACTAGACGCGACTGAAGTAATGTAGAGAAGGCACACGAGTCTTCTTTAAATAAATGTGTTTTAAAAAAGTCAAACATATGACGCTCTTAGCAAAAAGTACGCTAATACATTGAACTATCGGGAAAAGGTTGCAAAGGTTGAATTTTACTCAGAGCACAAGTAAACTCTACTGAGGAAGCGTTACCTAATAATGTTTTTACTTCTCCTTGTAAAGTTTTATGAGCAACTACAGACTTTTCCCTTACGATCTCTGCGCATTTAGTCACGTAGACACAAGGAGCCTTGAAGAACTGAAATATTTTTTTTATTAACGCTTGGATTAAACAATTTTACATTGAATTTAGACATGATCTAGCTAATTAATCTGCCGATCATCTCGACATATCATAAATCGAATGATGAAAATACGGAGATATAATAAGTCAAAAACTAGTTTTGAATAAAAACATTCCTCCTCTAAATTAAGTTTCTGTAGGCCTAATAGTCTCATGCCATTCAAAGATTGACAACAGTCATTTCTATAAGAAATTCCGCCATTATCAAATCACGACCCCTTTTTGATTGTCGAAACCTCAATCCCGCGTTTGGATTCGCCAATTATTGTAAAGCAGTAAGCGTAAAACGTAACGAAATTGAAAATTGACAAATGAATGCATGGATTTAATGACAATGTTTTCTCAACTAAAAAATTCGAAAAGGATTATAAATATGAACATAATGAATATATACCAAAAATATTTTCAGCGTATGTAAGTTTTTGAAATTCATATTTTGTAGTAAATTAGAGCATTTGTTCTATTGAAAAACACAAATGAAAAAAAGGATTTTGCGTTAAACCTAATAGCATGGGTTGTTAAGAATGAATTGCTCCGTCATAGAGCTCAGAACACTCTTAAATATTTCAAGAAATGAAAAGAAAAACGAAACAAAAAGGTCAAGTGAAAGGGCAGTATACGAATTAACTAGACCAACGCGAGGTCTCTTCAACAGTTACACAATCTAGTAGTTTGAGGTTCTCTAGCGTCAGCTGGTGGCGGTTTGTGAAATTAAAATGGATACAATACCACCAGGACGAAACGCAGCGCTTATTCTACTCATAGTATATTTTGTGGTTAACTTTTGAAGAGCTTATCTCACCATTGAAGACGGAAACACAAAAAACACAAGTTAGTTTTTAGAGTTACAACGATCAATAAAAAATTGGTGGATTTTTTTGGGTGAAGCCTTTTGATTTTCATTATTGCAGTATAATAGAAGAATTGTAGACCTAACAAAACTAACTGAGTCGTTCTTAAGAATGTATGACAATACATGTTTTAGACATAGCATAAAGAGCCAATTACAGTCTCCGTGAGTAAGTGGATAGAGATAGATAATTGCTTGGTCCGACTGTAATATGAAAATGTCGATCGACACCAACATGACTGATTACTCAATAGCTAAGAGATTGTATGTTACAAGTTTACAGAGTGTTATACCAAATGCAATATGTGTTCTTTCATTTTGTGATATTTGAGTAGAGTAGAGTAATGTATAGCTGTACAGTAGTTCATTAGGCGTTGTAAGTTTCGTAAGCCGACTCCACTTGTGCTTGCTTAGTTGTCGCAGGAAGAGCTTGTTCGTAACCGGCAGCTTCTTGCAGCACATTTGAAGATGATGGTTGTTCGTAAGCTGACTCCACTTGTGTTTGCTTAGTTGGCGCAGGAAGAGCTTGTTCGTAACCGGCAGTTTCTTGCAGCACGTTCGAATATGACGGTTGAGAAACTGGGTCGTTGAAAGAAGTTGCTGTTTAATTGAAAATAAAGTTTAATGAACACTTAGAGAAGATATATCAATTATATTCAAAATATTGAAGGAGAGATGGCGTACAATGAACAATTTTTCAAAATGAATTGGAATAATTTTTTAGGATTTAAGAGCAAATTACAAAATGATGTAAAAATAATGTGAAATAAAACCTTCGTATAATTACTAAAACGTACAAAAATACTAAACCAATCTATCTAAAATTTCGTAATCTAAGATAAAAATGACTCCTGAGAAGGATTTTACTTTCATTTTCTTGGACAAATTTCAAGTGACGCTTTTAGATTTTCATTATTGGTAAATAATACGTTTTCCAATATTGCTTATCGTCATGTTTAAATATTTTTGCATTGATGATAAAAGGAAAGCTGTTGAACATCATATGTACTTGTTAAAAGTTCAGAATATTCTATTGGCTGATAAGGAATAATATCCCATTACCGTTGTCTTGTATAGTTTCGTAATTATGTTCTTTCGCTTCTGCAATTTTCTTCAACTTCTTTATCTTTTTCATCAGTTTGTATATGATTAAGCCAAAGACTACGCAGAAGATCAAAGGGATAAGAAAACCAATTACGAAACTGACGATGTTGAATTCGAACGATTTCATATCTAAAAAATTACATTACCTTTTCAAAAACTGAAAGCTTTGGGCCTGTAACAGGCACAACTCAATGCTTATTGAGGAAATGACAAAATCACCATTTCAAAAATAAAAATCTGAATGGCATTATTCCTAAATCAAAAGATCGCTTTTCTTTACAATAGGTATTTCAGTAAGTGTTTCTCAAATTTCGTTATTATTGGAGGAAATGACTGGTGTCTTCTAAAGTCATAAATCACTGTCATAAAGTTTCGATTGGTATAAGACTCTAATTTATATGATTTGTATCGTGTTGTTTTGCTCTGTAAAAGCAAGGATTGAAACTTAATTTGCGAAATCCCTACAATTTATTTAAGATAATGTACCAACCACACTTGATGAGTTCCACATGTGTGACTGAAGTTTAATGAACTTCAAATTGAGTAAATGCAAATATTCGAAATATTCGCAACTTATAATATTTGAATTCAATTTATACCTGTTGGGTTTCCTACACAAGAACCTTTGACAGGCCAAACGCAATTAAATATTTTCATAGATGCCGAATAGTTACGATTTGGTTCTGGTTGAAATGAATACACGGATGATGACGTCACGTCTATGAGCTTCATGTCTATATTCGAGTTTGCATCTCGTGAAGAAACCGGATGTGAAGTTAGATTCAGTTCCTATAAATCATCAGATAAAAATTTGCTTCAGAAATATTCTTGCTGTTGCAATGTATTTCTAAAATTTTCACTAAAATTCCGTTAAAATTGGTGATAGATGAGATGTTGAAAAAGTTAACCCAAAGAACCAAAAATGCTGGCTTTGTTGAATATAATTCGATTACAAAATATTTTTAAACAGCATCTGCCATTAGTATTAATAGAATGTGGTAGTTGAATTTACGATCGTGAGTGACGGAGTGGGTATATATTAAGTCAAACTTCACGACCCAGTGTGCACTTTATAATATATACGCGTATAAATTCCAAATTTAATTTATATATCTTCATACAAATTGTAAAACATGTGTTTCGAATAACTTGTGTCAACAATGCAAGTATTGACTTACCACGGTATATAGGTTACTAGTCACTGATTTGTTAGATAGGATCCAAGAGATGACGCAAGTTTGCGTATTCTTGTATTGTATAATAGATGGCGATTCTGCAGATAACGTTGCCCCACCTGTTCTTGCCTTTTGGGTGGTAGAATAATTGGTTGTGCAATTGTCTTTTGTTACACATGCAGTAATCTGCAAAAATGAATTTTCATGAATATCATAATAACATAATATACAAATTGGGAAGAATACTCAGGTAGTAATAACGTCCTGAAAATAGATATCTTCTGCCTCAAATAGAACAAACAAAGTGATTCAATGTACCTTGACTATATCGTCATAAAAAACTATAATCACAAGAAAGAATTAGGTGTCAACAATATATTAAATCAATATTGCTTACTTTGATCGTATAGGTTGTGGTAGGCAACAAACTGGTTATTATGGTCGACTGTTTCTCAGATGTTGGTGAATCCACCCATCTTGTTGATCCCCCTGAGGACGGACTTACTTCTATTCTGTGAAACAGGAGTGAGGATATTCAGTGGCGTAGCATCCAACCCCCCCCCCCCCCCAACCCCCGCGGTCGCGGGAGGGCCCACAGCGCAAAGGGGCCCATGCGGTTAGAATTTAGAAATTTAAGCCGCAAACCAAATGCTACAGTGCAAACCAAGTAATGCACATCTTATAACGTTGATGTTAGTTCTGCTCATATCGTTTTGTTACGTAACAATGCCAGGGAGTCGTCGATTTTCGGCGTTTGTGGTTTGATCGCACCGGCAAAATTACGAAGGCTGTCAGAATGATGTCGAAAGCAAAACCTCTCAGTGGCGCACAGAAACGCAGAAAAAGGGCAGAAGAGAAAGAACGTATGAAAAAAAATAAAGTTACCACGATAAACAGCAAATTTTAGGTTTCCATTGCCTTTTTATAGCGACATGTTATGCTTTTTGACGAAATAAAAAAAGCGTTGTTTTAGCTTATGTCCGAGAGTTTTTAGGGTCAATTCCACGAAATATTTTTGCGGGGGGGCCCACGAGAGTCTTGCTACACCACTGGTGACATTGATACAAGAAACGTGTACACAAAATATAAAGCGTTGTTTGATTTATAGAAATTTTTATGTATCTGTTGGTCTTGTGCCTTAAAGGTAAAGTCGTAGCTACCCATGATGTTGTCGCAAGCTAAAGATTCCTGGTACAAACTTTTTGTCAACACTCATACCAATTGTAATATTCTTGACAATGCAAACCGAGTAACTTTGGGTTTTAGAATTTGAGTAAAGGTTTGTTTAGAACAAAGAGGTACAAAAAACTCATATAAATTGACATTTAAATATTTATGAAAAACTTACTTGTGTGGGAATCCAACAGCATTTGTATGCGGTTTCCATGAGATGATCAAGTTAGGGTGGCAGTTGTTATTCGATATTCGATAGATTGTGGGATTTCCAGCCACTGAAAAAGGATTTACGCAAGATCAAGTAACCGAGATTACGATTATATAGAAATGAATATCGATATTTACCTTCATATGATTCAGTTGTAGTTTTCCACAATTTACCAAGTCGGTAACGACAACTATAGGATCCCGAATCTGCAATATTTGCGTTTTGAAGATTCAATGTTGCCGATCCAGTTTGTATCGATTGATAAACTCTACTTGTAGTTGCGGTTGATACTTTGTTAGATGCTTTATACCACTCAAATTGTGTTGCAGTGCTGCAGTTTGTTGATGTACACATTCTCTGGTTTTCGCTGATGCTTAGTATTTCAATGAAAGGGCCTTGAAGCTCTAAAGCAGATTTGTGAACTTCAATAACTCAAATTTGGGTACTCCTGAAGTATGCGGACCCAGATGTTGCATAACCTGAACCCTAACATGTTACACAACCTGAGTTCAGGTTGTGCGCCATCTTGGTGCGCATACTTCAGGAGGTCCCAAATTTGTTAAGAATTAGAAATAAAAATTATCTATTTAGATTGGTTCGTGTCAGGAGGAATAATGAACAATGAAACTATATATAGGTATAAGAATTCTGAATCATATTTTTATATCAAATAAAAAATAGATGAATTAGCAGTGTTGTTTCAATTTTGTACGCAACATGTTTTGATGAAAAGATGACTTAAGACAGATAATCGGAAGTTTTCTTTTAATGCTCTAATTAGCAGTACGTGGCACCGACACACAATATGAATACTCGTATCGATACGATTTGCATTTATCTGTTTCAAATAACCCATGTGAATATTTCAGATTCGACAATCTACTTTGATATATTAGGCAAATTTTTACATAGATTTTAATTCCTATTTATTTATACTGGTGATTAAATGCTGCTTTATGTCTTTAGGTGCTATTTGCCATGACTCAAAAACTAGTCGGAAGACCGACCTGTCATTCAACGTTGTAGATCTTCCCATCCATCAATGCCTTTCCGGGATATTTCGAATGAATTTAATCTTTGTATAAGAATTAAATTTTGTCTTATTTTCAACATTAAAAACTTATTATATTCTCATAAATTGCAGTTGATGAAGGCAAGAAAAATTTATCAATTACTATAGCTTTGCCATAACAAAGTGATTATTGAGACAAATTATTCTTTTCTATTCCCTCCTCATGGCCATTTTTATCAAAAAAAAACATGAATATCACTGTTTAATTGTACGAGAACGAATATGAATAATCAATAAAACCTTTCTGGCAAATGTAGTAGAAGTTTTCATCACAAGATACATCAACCCACTCATACCTTTCTCTTCCAACTGTCAAACAGTTTTCAGCAGTTCCACCATTTGGTTGGTTATATTTCCTGATAAATATAAATGATAAGATTGGTAAATTCATAACATTATTTTCAAAACGGGCAAAGTATACAGGTTTTGAATAAGAGAAGATTGAATGAATTTGAACTTGGAATAGTTTATCTAATTGAGTGTAACAGACAATAGCGATATTGAAGTCCTGCATGCAGTGGGGCATGTATTTTTTCTACTGTTGAAAATAATGGAAACTGCACGCATACGAGCATTAAAAAATATTTTACGCTGCCAAATACAACGCCTTTATTTTTGAATTTTTTAAAATAAAATTATAAAACAAACCAGTTTTGATATCCTGTTTCTTTTTTCATTATCACATCAGTACCATCCGGCCATTTCCAATCTCCTTCTTTAGCTATGTCGTTTCCACCGATATAGAAAGTGTTATAAATCCATTTAATTCTGCAAATTGTTTGTTGAAACAAGATTGAATGCAACAAAAGAAATTCAATCAATCCCTTATTTATCCCAACAAACTCTCAAATGTAAATACCAACCTTTTGCCAAATAGTGATATACCAAATTATCACATTTTTGAAAGCTAAAAAAATAAGTCATTGTTTTGTGCATAGCAGTTTAATTGACAAGACACACAATAATAGCACTTGTTGTATTTGTACGCTTATTGCGCAGAAATAATACCATACTTATGTTACCAAACGCGTCAAGCGTGTCACAAATTCATGATCACCGCAAGAATAACAAGTTAAGGGGTGTACTTTCTAATAAACATAAATTCTCAAACCTACAAAATTATTTTCATAATTTTTTTGCCATTGGCTCACGTGCGAGAAAAGAAAATGATCGGAAATGCCCTCTATCATCTCACGACACAAAATGTATTTATAGACTTTTATCAAGTCACAAGTAAAAGTATACACGAAATGGGCTGAGGGGGCAGATAGAATGAATATTTAAAGTCATTTTCTAGATAAATCACGTGCATAAATTGCGTGAATACGTTTAAGCAAGTTGACTCACTCAAAAGTTGAATTAATGACGTCAGTAATTCTTTGATTATCAACTTTTGCCAAATAACCTCCGATTCCTTCACAAAAAGATTTTGCCCCTCCATAATCTTTCCTCGGATTATTGAAAAAGTTCAGTTCGTACTGATCTACGCATTTTGTTTTCCATGGAGCTATATGAAATCAAATTAAACACCATTGATACGATGATATTTAGAATTCAGTCATTAAGTGATAGAAAAAGAATAATAATTGCTTGGTCATGGAACGGTAAAAACGTAAAAAATGTCATTGATATTACCACAGAATATCGAGATATTAATTAGAATAACCGAAGCATTCAGATTTGAATAAGAAGATTAGTTTACTAAGAGCACAAAATATGTATGTCTCTAGAGTTTCACATTAAAATCATGCTATTTTATTTTTTTCATTGATCGTAGTAATAACAATAAATGAATCAGTATATATTTTGCACATAGTATTGCATACAAGACAAACACAAGGACAACATTTACTTTAATATGTAACATCGATATTGAGAAAAAAATTGATCTTACATTGTGCATGAGAGAATCCAAGTAGCTTGATTGTAAGAATACTAATTAATAATATTTTGAACGCGTGCATTTTTGCTTCAATTCAATATTTACGAGACGAAAACACTGCTATGAGAGTAATGGTAAAACCTGTAATCTCCTTTAGTGAATCAATCACACTCTATTCTATCGTAACTCCAGAAATACGCTAATATGTAGGCTCAAACTGTTTTCAGTTTTATGTATCTTGTCTACAATAAGCTATCAGACACCAGGTTCTACACGGATATGTATGAATACGTACAGAAATATGTCACATGCCACATCCATAAACGAGTGACATGATGTGCAGTTATATACTAACGATACAATACAAATACACACTTTCTTATTCAAGCAATCAGCGTGAACCGCTCCAAAAACACGAAACGGTCAAAGCTGCAATTGAGAAATTGAAATTATGACACATTTGCCATTTTTCATATCAATTCACTCGCATAATTACTGCTAAGATCAGTAGCGTTTAACCCCGTTGATTCGAAACACTTAATCACGCAGTAACTGATCAACTATAAACTGTCTGATACCATTTGTTCATTCCTAATATTCGTTGGTAATCATGTTCAAGATGCAGTCCTACGTGTGCTAGCCCATTAACGTAATATTAAACTTATGACATCTATTCACAAGCTACGCATACGTTGATAATTTATATCCAAAAATACCAATTTCCTCCTCACCGGGTCGACAGTCCTTAGTCATTTTCTGGAAAGGCTCAGGTCGTAACGCGCCATTGATAAAATTCAATATACGTGGGAAGTATAACTAAGAACTGGTGAAACAATGTTGCTCTATCTATTGCACAAGTAAGGCTCAGCTATTGCTCTTCAATTACGCGCCAGTAATGTAATAAAAATCTACTAGGCTATTTATTATTTGAAACTCACATAGGCACAAATTTGCTAGATATATTTATACCTCGCTGGTCTTTCTGCCATGGTGTATTTTTGAACACATGTGAAAATGAATTTATCATATCTTTGTATGAAATACATATATATAAATAATTTTTCCGAGGTTTTCGAAGGCCGATATTTTAGCCAAATTTGGTTTGTTGCATTATAATTCATAAAACTTGTTTGACATTCGACCTCCCTATAAATATATTCGGGCATTGCTCTATACATATCGTCACGCTAATAACCGAATTGCGTAAGTCATTTTTGGCGATTTTGAGTATTTTATAAAATAGGTATTTATGTAATGCTGCGCACCTGTCTGTTAACTCAGATTTTATTTTAAGAATTTCGAAACCCATAAAAATGGAGATTTGGTATGACATGCACTTTTATGCAATTGTTTCGTCATAATGAATTATCATTGGTATCGCAGGACTATTGTGACATCACAAAGGCGAAATAACCTCTGCGAAGTATTTTCGAGTTTTTGCATCTCGGATTCTAGCTTAGCGCGTACTAATTTGAATTTATACTACAGTATAGGAAGACGTGCACTAGTGATATTCACTGTCCGAGTCCAATTCACCTTGGTTGGCTTTTATATTGGGTGCATTGCTGTTTTATTCTTTATATTTAATCTTAGTCTTATTTCGGTGGGTGTGCAGAACGTGTTATATTATTGAAATATATATTTTTAAACATAAAAAATAATGTAATTAAAACTGATTAGCTATTTTTGGAATTAGACATTGTAGATACTGAAAATTACATTCGTTTTTGGAATGTTCAGTTTTTAGGACTGGTGCATATAGTAAAGTTGCAAAATTGCGTATGTCCCCAAGTCATAGACACATTTCTGCCTAAGTCACAGTGCGCCATTATGACGTCACTTAACTGCGTCATACAAATTAACTTGAATCTGGCTACGATCAAAAAATTGAACCATGGCCAATTATTGATTCTCAATGGCATAACAATTTCATTAGGAAGATTTTTACGTTTTTCTCAAAACTGCTAAAAATGACTTACGCAATTCGGTTATTAGCGTGACGATTTGTCAAAATATTGCAGAATAAAACCATCATGGCCTGGAATTCAATTTCAACTAGTAAGAGACAATGCATTATAGCAGCAAAGATCTCATACATGAAATTGGAATTTACGTAGAACGTGATCACATTTTAGATACTAACAAAATACCCGCTGGTTGAATATTCATTTTCGTTTTCAAAAGTATGATGACATGAATAAGTAAATACATAAATGTATAATTTCTGCCGAAGTTAACAAGTCAAGGCATCGAGTGCAGTATTGATTTACAAGTTTTGGCATAATCTTGTATGAAATTCACTCATTTGCTTATGACGAGGTCAGCAACCTACGACCCGCGGGCCGCATCCGGTCAAAAACCTATGTATACATCCTTTCAGTTAATTAACGACTATAAGAAATTCTGAAATAATATCGTAGCATGTTGTACTTGTAATGAATACTAATTCTCAAAAACAATAAAAAAAAGAGCAACACATTTTTAAGTTTTTATTTTCGCCGCCCAGTATTGTGAAGTGGTCGTATACATTATTTGTCATTGAAAGCAATGAATTCTTGAAATATATCTTAATATGTTTACAGGTATACGTATCACGAATATGTAAAAAAACGTAAAAATGCATCACAATAATCCAGTGGTGTGATTCGAAATTCCAAGTCTATAAAAGCGGTTGTCTATAAAAGACAGAAACGGGTTTACAATATATATATCACACTCTGTATCCTAGCACGGCAATAACGAACCGTAGTAGTGACAGAATTGTGCATACCTTTTTAACTTATGTACTTGAGATGTAAAATAAATACGCGCACTTTTCTCTCTCACTCTCCCAAAACAGTTTTTTAAATAATAAAACTAGCATGATGGTTGATAGTTTGCGTTACGGATTCCCTTAACACTTATGCTCCCGCAAAGCATATACAACAAAATCATGATACGGTTTTTGGCTATGATTCAGAACAATAATGTTGAAGTGTTTGAATTACAAAATATGACATATCTGCAAATTTTCATCTCTCTTCATTTTCATGAATTCCTACTGAGTTTAGCAGTTTTACCACGTAACACAATCACAAACTTATGTCATCCATCTACTACTAATTTCATTCAATAGTTTGCTATAATAAATCGTGTCTGTGATGTCAACTTGCTTCTGCCAGCAAATTAGCGAGTATTAAACTCATAATACCTATGCACAAAAGCTAACATTCGTAACTAATTGCTAACAAAAACAATACCAATTTCCTCAAGCCAGCCAGACCAGAGTCATAGTATCACACTGTTAATGTTGCTCAGGATGCGTAGGCAGAATAGCTGAGAGACGTCACTCAATGCTTTTATTGCTTGTGGAATAGCGACGTTGGGTATCGCCTCCTGCACGTCTAGAATGTAAGAAACGTTGGATGTGCATTCAAAATGCACTCAGGTTATGTTATGACAAATTTGGCAGTCTGTAACCACGTTTTCAGGTGACAGCACATTTGCACCTGTACTGCACCCACGACATTTGCACCCATACATGTACACCTATAGATTTTACTACCCGCATAAATATTGCACCAGCGGACATTTGCACACATGGACGTTTACACCGAAGAACATTTGCACCCACGAACACTTGCACCCACGTAGTTTGCATTCCTGTACATTTGCACCCTGGACCTTCGCACCTGCGGATATTTTCATCCACGTACGTTTGCATTTCTGTACATTTGCACCCACTGACATGTGCACCCATGGGCGTTTGCACCCATGTACATTTGCACCAACAGACATTTGCGCTCACGTACATTTGCACCCGCGGAAATATGCACCCATTAACGTTTGTGCACATGTACATTCGCATCCACGGATATTTGCATCTACACGATCATTTGC